ATTATTACTATTTTTTTTTTTGAAAATTTTTGTGAAAAAATATATTCTAGCGATTTGATGCATATAAAATAGTAAGATGATTGAAAAATGTATTTGCAAAAAATATAATTTTTTTTTTGAAAAAAATGTTGGAAAAAAATGATGATCGAGACAGGGCCTAATTTTTCTTCCAATAGACAAAGAGGTAAGGAAAACAGGTGGAGTTGGTTAAAGAAAGAAAATGATAGCCCAGGAGTTACGACTCAATCCGCCCTTGATTTCTTTAAATAATGAACCAGTTATAGTAGTAATTAGTACTGCAACTAGGCTATAGCTAAGAGGAGCAAAGTGAAGTCTAGTGATACAATATTCAAAAAAAAAAAATGTATAGTGATACTACCAAGTCCACTTTTTTTTTTTTTCCTTTTTTTAAAACCAAGTCCACATTCTTGATCAAATGTGGACTTCCACTTGTTGGAGGGCATCTTCAAGACTTCTTCTGCCCATCAAACCGCGGCACTTACCCTATGTAGAATAATTCCAGCCCTATAAATAAATGGAGGGACCACGCTCCAGGAACTCCACAGAACATGCAACTAGCTAAAATTTATTATGACACTATTTATTTAATTGTAGAAACTATTTGAGTTGAATGCACTTTGCAGCCTTGAAATGTTCGGATTTAGCACTTAAACCCCTCCAAAGTCCAACTATCAATTGTGGCATTTATGATAGCCTGGATACAGATCAATTTTATTGTCCATTCACATGTGAAAAAAACCTAATAAAAACCCTTTATCTTTTAAAAAATTAGGCCTTGTTTTGACACAAAAATTTTTATATTTTCGATGAATACATATTTTTCAATCACTTTTTTTTTTAATTTTATATTTATGAAATTGCTATAATATATTTTTTTTCTATAAAAACTCGTAAGAAATAGCAATCTAAACGGACTCACACCCTTTCAAAGTAGCAATTTGACATAAACTTTTTTGCGTGAAAAAATAATGCTCCATCAATTCGCGTTTTACGTTGGGAAAGAAAATTTCAAATCAAGATTAAAAAGAAATGCCAGTAGTTGAGCTACCATTCCATATTAATCAAGGAGCTGATTGTCTTATTAATTGTGAATGGCTAGTTTAATTCCAACGCGATTTAGGTTATTGAAATATTTTGCAATAAACTAAAAAGTTTGCGGCACTATATTCCCATAATTGATAGTTTAGGGGATAAAATGCAAATCTCAAATAGTTGAGGGGTGTAAATTACAATTGACACCCTTACCACTTTTATACGATTATTGACGGGAGAGATTCAATGTCCCTTTCAATAAAGAAAGGATACAAATACTTGATTGGCCGCAAAGTTCGGTAACTTGGCGCTGAAGTGAGATGCAACACTATACTAATATTATTATCATTAATATTGTCGCAAATTAAAGCAGAAAAAAAAATTAAAAAAAGGAAGAAGAAGAAGAAGGAGACTTGCCTGGAGCTCAGTGGTGACTGGGTATTCATCCATGTCGACGTAGTTCTTGTTAATGGCAGCCATGATGAGCTTATCGCATTCTGGCTCCATCCATGTGGTCACGAAGGATGCCAGATTCAACCTCGGGTTTCCATCCAACATTAGCTCGTCGTTGATGATCTGATAAGCTGCTTCTTTTGGAATCGAATTCTCCGGCATCTTAAACCTTCAGAAAGAACAAAAATACGTAAGAGTATAATTAACTTACTAAGGCATAATCATCACCAGATAACGCCTCATCATCATCATCATCGAGATTTTTTTATGTACAAACCGGGGAAGAGAAGCTCGAACATAGCGAGAAGCGAAGGTGGAGTGGACGGAGACATCCGATTGGGATGCAGTCTTGGAGATAACCATGGTGGTTTTGAGTGATTATTTTTAAAAAAAGAAAAAGAAAAAAACGATTAGAGACTTTCTTTCAAGAGTAAAGGAAAAAGGCAATAGTGGCTTCTTTCCGTGTATGACGAAAGTTTGCAGAGGAAGTAATATGATATTTATAGTGCAAGCGAAGGGCCGCGGAAAGGTAAAACCGTAAACAAATTAATTATGGAAAAAATGGAGATTAGGAAGCGATTAGACGGTGGGCACCCTTGTTAGAATAATCACGGATGGTCCATCCTTTTTGGTCAATAGATGCGACAAGATAGGATTATTGCATGTCCATGGTGTTTATGATGGCATGCGTGGGAACATGGGTGCTGCTGCCTTGGCACCAAGCAGGTTCCTTTCTTTCTTTTGGATTTCTTGGAGCTCTTTGCTACAATTAGAGTTGAAATTTCCTCTTAAAAGGATGAATAGTATAATTATGGGTTAGAGCCGTCCCCGGTAGCAGCTAGCGAGCGAAACAGTGGACTAGGACTAGGTCCGTGTTATTTTCCAGACGAGTGGTGGAGAAGTTGGAGGCATCGCCGGCAGCAAGACAACCAATGGGCTGGGGTCATGTTTCCAGGAGATTGGGGGAATAAATTTCTTTTGTTGGCAACTGGCAGTTGACTAACGATGAGGAGGACCGAGTAATGAAACGCGCATGATTTTGCTACAATTTTTTATAGAATGGCATTTTTTTTTTGGAGTATTTTTTGAGTAAAAAGTGCGGTGCACCACTTAAAATCAATTTGAACGCTTGATGAGCAAGAGATCATTTGGTAAAAAATCTTACAGTACATGATTTAAAATCAGTAAAATAGAACGAGCGAGCAGCTACTTTCACTTTTCCAACTCCAATAATGCCTCTCTTCCCAACTCTAATTTCCATTCAAATTGATTAATTTCTCATTTGAGTATGAAATTGATAGTTCGAATACTAAATGTATTATACTAAAAAGTTTGAGGATCAAATGTGTCAATAACTCAAAGTTTAGGGATCAAAATTAATTGAACCGGGGGTGGGGCCGGCTGGGCTACATCTGGATCGCGATTTTTCTTCCACACAAAAATCAACAAACATCGCGGATTAATTTTCGCCGCCTCATGCGATGAAAATACAAAGTGGGCATCCTTCCAGTCCCCCAGACAAAAGCGAATTTCTACTATACCACGGTTTGGCATCTGTCTCTATATCAGGATTGTTTGCCCAAGAAGATTGGACCTCAGGGTCGGAATTTAGCAAGGAACAAGTAACCTTTTTTTTTTCCCCCTTTTGCTTTGCCGGGAAAAAAATAAATAGAAAAGGAGAAACGATAAAAGATTTTTCTAATCACTATCTTTACCTACTTTTTTAATATAATATGGGATCTGTTTGGCTTTTATAAGTTTTTTTAATAACTTTAGCCCCAGTAATCTTAAGAAACTCTTCAAAAATTTTAAACTATATATTTCAAAATATCCAAAAATTATACACTTCAAATTTTTTTTTTACAACTTCTGCAGTATAAACATCCAAAAAACCCATGATATATTTAAGATCGCACTTATCAGTGGCTCAGAAATGCAAAGTTATACAAATATATAGAAAAAAAATTTAGGTGGACTCGATACAGGCCATGCGCATTTGCCGACATAATTATAGGGTGGTTTGATCCTCCAATTTGATTACGATCGAAATCAATTACATAAGATTGGACGTTCGTCGACCCCGTTCTGTACCCACACGCTTGTGTACAGTAACACGTAAGCATGTCTGGAGAAGGGGCAGGGTCCCTGCCAGTTAATGGCCAAGATTTGGCCAATAAAATTTGTAAGGTCCAGATTTTAACATGTGTGGGATCCACAAAATGTTGTTCTAGTGTTACTCGCTGTTGTTTTAGTGTTACATCGTGTACAAATGATGTTACACAATGTATAAAATGCATACAAGCTTCCGGAACGGAACGGTTGCATTGACAACCGTTCCAGCCGCGGCTCCAGTATGTCTCTATTCTGCATGGTCAAAAGAATTCTGGGTGATTGTCTGTGTATTTGTCAATACTCGTCGTGAGATTCCAACGGTTGAAAAGAAGAAAATCAGGATGGGGAAGGCAGAATACCAACGTTAGAAATGGGGTGCAGACAGTGGTTTTTTTTTTTTTGGGAGGTTAACGTATTATTCTAGAATCCGGCTTTTCTAGTTTGTCCATCTTGCCTTCGAATCTTCAAACTGAGTTCCATATACTCCACATTTTTTAAGTCAACTGCTTCACAATGCCGCAAAAGGAGAAGTCGAGCAACTTCATTAAAGACTTGAACAGGTCTAACAGTTCCAACAAAATTTTTCTACGCAAATCAAGTTGCAGATGATAATAACACATTTATTATTTGGCTTCAAATATTCCACTCTTTCCGATGTGTGCAAAATGAAGTCACAAAAGCTTTGACGGATTCCTTGTGACACGTATCGCACACGACCGCGCTCACCAGCCTTGGACCAACCGGCCAGACAGCGAGGCTTCGCCGTGCTTATAGAAAATTAAGCAACCCGTGACACTCGAAAGGTCTTGCACCATATGGTCTTTTTCCTACTACCATTCACAAACGCTAGTATGGACCATTTGGTAAATAAAAGCGGCATAAGCCTAAAATATCTAGTAACTTCTTTTTTGTTCTTGGACTCTCTCTAGAGGTTCAACTTGTCAAGTTCTCACGTCCAAATCATGCTCGAACAATTGCTTGAGTGAAACAGTCGCAATATAGATTTGGGTTGGGTTAATGAACGCTAAACCAAAGCAACCATACTTTTTTTAACGTTCATAATTTTTTTTAAAAATTTTTCTAGGTTTCATTCATGTACGTGTAATAAAATGAAGACGATTTTTTTTAAAAAAGATTTATTCTAGGTTATTGAGATGGATGCGAGAATGGATATGTTGAGTTATGGGAGATAGTGTTTATTTTCTTGTCAAGCTAGCAATAATTAGAATGTTTTCTCGGTAATCCTTAGTTTCTAACTACTCCACATTTTTGGTATGGGGATGTAATTCTATACATACGTACCCCTACACTTTCTTTATCATGCAGAATTGACCAAATTAGGAAATAGGAATCAATCCCTCTATTCTGATATATCCCACACGAAGAGAAATATTTTACCTCATTTCCTAAACAGAATGTGAACTTATCCAGATAAAGAAAATCATCCAATGGTACAAATGATGCTTTTACATAATTCAGCAGTAGCCCGAGTGAAAAGCACATAATTAATGATTTCTTGAAAGCAGAAATCAGAAATGAAGAAAGCACGGTGTTACAGAAATGATGGGCTGTGCCAATACTGTGCTTGGAAGTTGGAAGGTTGGGTGTAATTGTCAATTATCATCAATTTGGTGTTAAAGCTGGGCTGTCCTCTTCAGATTTCAGAAACTTACCTGCAGATCACATCAGTTTTGGAGAATAATGCTTACGCTAACACACATCAAGAGAAACTTAAAATTTGATTGAAGAATGGTAAATTAATTCACAAAATTAAAACATGCAAAACCTGTAAATTAGGATGAGATAATTTACTTGCGAGTTCAAAGGGTTGGTTAAGCATTCAGTAGCATTTCTCATTCTTCTTCTAAAATTTATAACTGGGCATCCTAGCAATCAGTGAAGAGTATACAACTGAATATTTGATCAGTACAGATTACAATTAAAAGCAACAAGGGAAATTAAATAGCGACTATAAGATTAACTCTAAAATTTTAACTAACAAAGCATAAAGTATACTGGAAAGAAATACTCACAATGGAAATTCACCACAGGTCTCTTTCCTTTCTTGATGATCTCAAACTTGTACCTGTCCCCAACTTTAAGGCCGTTTGCTCTGGAGATATTACTCCATCCGCTTGAAAGCACAACTCTATCTCCCCTGTCCTTCAATTTTACTTTCCACAGCCTTTGTCTGTCATCTTTGACGATCATTTCTCCCTTCAGCTTGGTTAAACCATTCGGTTTAGCAAACTTCACTGGTAGATGCTGCAGGACAAATCATATCAGAGATCCCAAAAGGTCCCAAAGCTCGTTATATAAATGGACTTTGACAGTTTAAGAAGTTCCAATGCTTACCAGTACACAACTTTTGATGTTATAAGGCTTGATTGTGGAGATGAAGTAAGAATGATCATCAGTGGCGGGCTGTGGTGGAGGCTGATCATCTTTTGTCAAGAGTGTAAGAAAGTTAATAACAGGTGTTTCTCCATTTTCCACAAGCTCAAAACTGCAAGTGTCTCCTTCCTTTAGGTCATTTGCAGTAAAGAACTCGTCCAAGCCAAAAGAGATGCAAACTCGGCTGCCTCTTGAGTTGAGTTCTGCATGCCATGACCTTTTCTTTGGATCTTTGAGGATCAATTTGCAGCTTCTGTTGCTTAAATCATTTGATCTCGCGAACTTCATTGGGAGATACTGCATTGGATTGCCAGGTATGTTGCAACTGTAGTGTATAGCGTGCCATAGAAATGGATTGTGGCAAGAGACAAAAAGGCTCACCAATATACAACGTCTGATGCAATGAGGTTCTATTGTTGACGTAAAGTGAGGATTAACAGGTTCTTCATCACGCCAAGAGACTTCCTTTCCTGATTTTCGAGTTGATGCCTTGTCTTTTCCTAAATGAATGAAAAGAGTTCAAGAAAGAAGTCATCTACAAATTACAACCTGGTTTTCCAGCAGGTAGACAAATTTTATTATATAGAACTCTGGAACCTTCAAATCTTCTACTTAGCACTACCATACATTAGTGCATGCAGTAAAATCGTGAAAGTTTCCTGCTTTATAATGAATGGACTTTGACTGTAGAGGCAGGCAGAGGCTCTGGATTGAAAAAATTATCCTAAGGTACTTTAGGAGTGATCATTACCCAATTATAAAGGAAAGCAGCCCTTTTGGTGCAATGTTGTACTTCGTGCTTCCAGGAAAAGATTAATTAGTAATACTAAGTAGTAACTAATCTCCAAAACTGTGAAGTCTCCATTTTCTGTTCCTTTCCTCGTACATGATGAACTACCATTTAGGTTTAGCCTCAGTTTAAAAAGTATGCATTTTTCACTAGTACGTCTGAAAACCTATCTGATTCATCAATTATTCTAAAGCCCAGCAATTAACTCTACCAACCATATGGTATGTATCAAATTCTTAGGGATGAACTTAGAACATCACTTTTCCACTTATATTGCCTGAATTTCTTCAAGCTTATGTATGTTTTATACATATCAGGAAACATAATAATAACAGAAAAGCTTGCCATAGAAATTGAAGACAGGCGCCTCTCCATTTTCAGTGAGCTCTAACACGAATTCATCTCCCTCCTTCAGCCCTTGTGCTTTTGCGAAACTTTTCCATCCACATTGAATGGAAGCGCAGTCGCTACTGGATTTTATCTTTAAACTCCATGACCTTTGGCTTTGATCTCTTAGCTTTATATTGCATTCTCTGCCGAATAGACCGTTCTCCATCGCAAAATCCCTGGGAATGTTCTGACAACAAAATCAAGCGAGGCCGTTAATCGTAACTTCTACAAATATGCGTATCAGTTGATACTACTCGTGGACACTTAAATGGTATAAAGATGAAGGCGAGAGCACTGAACATACGTTTTCGTTTCCCCTGTAGCAGCGCTCTTTTTTTTTGGGTGAAAACTCAAAGAAATTTTTTTTTCCGGGGAGCATATCCCTAGAGTATGGAGCTATAAATGCTTATTAACCATTTTAACTTGATCATAAGATTTCAGTATATAGCTAGTTTCTCTGCTTAAAAGCATGCTTATCAATGTATTAATACTAATGAGTTATGAGGACATTTCATATACATTTTCTAGAGTATCGCTAGTATGTTATCATTCATGCACCAAAAGTAAAATATATAGGTCTACAGATGTAGAGTTCATATATATCAAAAGGAAAACCATGAAAAGTCACATTTACCAATCGGTGATACAGAAGGTTAATTGGCTTGACAGTAAAGATAAAATAGGGATGGCAAATTTGATCAGTAGAATCAGGTTCCTCTTGATCATCAGACAGTTCCAACTTAACTTTCTTGCTTCTTGGAATCTCTTCAGTTGCTTCAAAAGAACATTAATCACACTTCATTTGGATCCATCAAATAACAAATGCAAGCAGAAAACGAAAAACACATTCACTTTAAAAGAAAAGAAAAGAAAACCTAACCTGCAGCTTTAAATTTCTTGGAGCACTTTGTCTCATCATCAATGGATGCATATTCTCTCTCACAATGACTAGGGTCAAAAACCAAAACCTCGAACACCATATTTCCTTCATGTTCGAACACTGCAAAATCTCCCACCTGCAAGTTGTTCTCCACAGCAAATGCTCTCCAGCCTTCTCTCAGCCACTGGTCACTAATTTCTACCCTCCATTCCTTAACACCACCCCTTCGCAATACTGCCTGATTTTCAGATATCTTTCCACCTAAATACTTCAAGAAAGATGCTGGAATTTTCTGCAAATTAAAAAAAATGCTTAACAATGAGAAAAGTAACTGGGCTTAGTTATCCTAACTTCACTAGTACTAGTACATTTTGTAGATGTAATCATGTAAAGCTTGTCCCACAAACACATAAGACAAGCATAAACCGATAAACCTGGACTTGGAAGACAGAAGAGCAAAGCTTACCACTCCATCTATGAAGCCTGGAAGGATAGGCTTGAAGAAGTGAGGCTTCTCTGGTTGGATTCTGGTTCTCATGGACATGTCCAGACTCCACAGTGGTAAGACCTTGTGAAGATGGAATGAGAGTCTGAAACGTCATTCTAGACCACTTAATCTTCCTTGGTTTTGTAATAAGAGTGCATAAATTGGCATTTATTATCACAAGTTGGGCAGAAGCATGTCATATCATGGCCTGAGCATCACAGTGGCAGCATTGGTCAATGACCATCTGTATGCTGGTTTTCCATGTTTTGACACATTTTTGAGGCACAATGTAATACAGTTGATATAAAAATCATGAAAGGAATTACACGGGAAATAGCATTAAAGGGAGTCGGGTGATTAAATATGCTAATTGGATAATGGTATGAGCTTTAATTACACCCCTCCTGAAATCAATTTCTGCTACTTTCTGAGACTTTCAGGGCAGGAACAGCCTTCAAAGTCTTATTGACACACCTAAAAGTCCTTGTGCATTTCCGCAAGTTAATATAAAGGGACGCAAGTGTAGTCATTCATATTTATTGAATTGACAGACTGAAACAGTTCCCTGTCCTGAATTGAAATGCATTCTACTCTTTCAAACAGTTCCCTATCCTGAATTGCAATGCATTCTACTCAACTATAACATGAACCAAACTTTTTCCATTGGCTTTCAACACTTGAAAGAGCCTGCTATGATCTATCTATATCTGTGTATCCATACTTATATTTTCTCTTTAAATGTCCCTCGAGCTTTAGTGGAGTTGAGTGTATCTATACTTAATATCTGTGTATCTATATTTCAGAAATGATCCTGAATCTGCAATTCTGCATTTAGGTACATAAATGTATATTATATAGTAATACTCCTTTACCATAAGCTCTTTCCTAATTGGTTTGATTTACAAGAAATCATTCCAGATTTTCTTCAAGAAGAAGAATATTCTTAAAATGGGATCTATTATCTATGTATAATTCACACGATTTATTTCAAGCGCCTATAAAATGTCAAATGCAAAGCATTTAATGTACTTACTTTGTCCTAATAATGAAATGCTCTCTCCTTCAATATCATCCTTCTTTGGTAAAGGCAACTTTGTCAGTCTTCCAACAGAAAAAAGAAAGGCAACTTTGTCACCAACTACAAATGAAGCATCCTCCTTTCAAAAACAACAAACAAAATTTTTTTGGTGGCTTTTTTGTGTTTATCGTGGGGTGTGGGGGGAGGGGCGGGGGGGTTGGAGTAGGAGTCTTCCTTTACTCATTCGACTCATTTTTTTGGGGAAAAAAAAATTGTTCCCCAATTCACATCATGCTCTGTTCATCAAAAGAAATGCACAAAGTCGTGTGACTATTAAAACCCAAAAAAAAAAAACGTTTCCACTTGAGGGGAGTAGCGACACGATTTTTCCCTCAAAAGCGGGACCATAACTTTTTCACCCGAATTAACCCGAGTATTCCGATCGACTCGAGAGTCTCCTGCAAATAAAGCAAGAATCTTTGGTCTTCTTTCTCTCTTTCTCTCCGTCCTTCTCCGATTGATCTTTTGCAAGATGAGGACCCGATTTTTGTTTAATTTATTTCCCGCCAGAACCAAGGCCGCGGTGACGTCGGTGTTTTTCATCTCCGCCGCCGGTGTCGCAGCTCTTGTAGACAACCCTGACTCTCTCCGCTTACCTTCACCTCCTCACGCTACTGACTTCCCCTTCCTTTATGGCGCCGTTCGATCCTCTCGCGCTCTTTTCACAGTACCTCTTCATTTCATTCAAACATTTGAACAGGAATTTTTAATCATCATTTCTTGTCTGAATCTCGACTAGTACTAAATGCTGCTTCTTGCAGATAGCTTCCACTGTAGTTGACTATAAGTACTCTCTACATTACTTGCCGGAGAAGTCCGACGAGTACCGGAATGTTCTCTCCGAGGTTTGGTATTTCAGAAATTTGATTACATTGCTAAACTTCTCTTAATTTTAGGTGCTTATGTCCATTATTGTTGCCTATTACTGTTTTATGAAACAGTTATCTGGCAGGAAATGCTTTTAAAATATTGATTCTTTGTTCAATAATAGGTCCATTTGCGGTCAGCCAAGAGAATTTTGAAATTATGCGAGTTCAATAGAGGTTTTTATGTGAAAGCTGGTCAATTTGTTGCGGCTCTGCGGCAAGTTCCGAAGGAGTACTCATCAACTCTTTCCTCATTACAGGATCAGGTTCTGAAATTAGAATAAATTTTTATGTGGTTTTAATATTTTCCCCCTTCTAAATTTGACCTTCATTTGGTTTCTGATGAGAATTTTTCAATTCTGGCAAGTTTACTGATTTTGGTTGGATCCTATACTAGACAGCTCCTTGCCGATTCAAAGCTATCAAAGAATTACTAGTCAGCAATTTTGGTCGTGATTTATCAGAGATGTAAGTTTGGAAGTTGCCTAATTTTTTAGACTGGCTTAGTTGTTTTTTGAAGTATATTGAACTTCCTAAATTGAGGTTGAATTTGGCATATACATCTTGAGTGATGGACGAATATTAACCTAAGTGCTTCAAGCTTACCCCCCTCTCAAAGAAAAGAGAAACTCCAAGTTCGGAATTCATTTGTTCAATGCAATTTGATGTTTTAACCTTCAGTGACTGAAAAACATACTCTTCATATGATAGGCTAAAATCTGTTGAACATTTATCTAGACCAAAACTGCTTCTGAATTTTAAACTGTTTGTTACTAGAAGATCATTGGGTACAACAACCGCTTACCACTTTTTTTGTGTTATTCCTATTAGATTCATTTCATTTGATGAGCAGCCAGTTGCAGCTGCTTCTATTGCTCAAGTACATCATGCTGTACTAAATGATAACCAGGAAGTGGCAGTAAAGGTTGGTTTATTGTTTCTATCTGTTAATTGTTCATTGTGGAGTTCCTACCTCCCCTGCCCCCCCCCCTCTTTTTTTTTTCTTTCACAATATATGTGTTCTTATGTTTAGAATTATGTTAGTTTATTCATCTTCTAAAAAAGTAATTGTGCACATTTGTGAGACTTTGCTGTCAGCATATTTGTTCCCCACCCTTCCTCAAGATGAAAAGTCAACCTTCGGCTATTCATATGTTTGTCAACGGAACCACTTCTTCTATTTCATGTTCCCTGTAAGATTCCTGTTGCATGGGAATGTAGTGGTTTTTTTAGTAATTCTATCACATAACATTGGAAGAAGTTAACATTTGTGGCTTATTGCCATTTAGTTCAAGTTGAAGCATTTGGTTGAAGCAGCCATCCTTAGTCACCATCAGTACTTATTTAAAAACTAAGTGGATGTGGTGATTGGTGATGTATAATTATATTTACAACTTTTCATCGGTATTCAATTGATTTGCACCACTATAATTGCAGGTGCAGTATCCTGGGTTAGAGAAGCAGATGAAGTATGACCTTGCAACTATGTCTCTCCTCTCAAGACTAGTCACCTGGGTATGAACTAATTACATCATCAAGCAATGCTCTTAGCTCTTAATTGTTGATTCTGTCTTTTTGTTTCTCCTTATTCATTATTCAGTTTCACCAAATATTAACTTTTTCCAGCCTGAAATATATGTAGCTCAATTCCTTTCTTCAATGAGAATTGATTTTCTAAAGTCTTATCTACTGCGGTATTTACTAGAGATATACATTTGGGAAATCTGAGATATCCTTGGATCCACCAAAAGCCACCTGCTGTAATTTTTTGGCAAGTATTGCAGGAAATAGTGGTGTGGGACTGGGTTTCTCGGGGATGTTAGTTCTTAGAGAATAGTTATTTGGAGGGCTTAGGGGAACAAATAACTAGAAAAGGTCAAACTAGCAATGAAGTAAACCTAAACTATCCCAACCAAACCCTTTGGGACCCTGCTTGAATTGGGAGTTTGTTTATTTTTCAGCTTTTACCCCATTAGACCAACTCAAATACAGTTGCACCCATTTTGATAACTTAAATTCTAATGGTACATACAACATCTCATTTTAACAGTTATTGAAGTCATAGAGGTATCCATTATAAAATTTGCTTAATTAAATAAAATGGACTTTTGAGAGTGTTAGAAAGGAAAAATTAAACAAACTCAGCTAGTTTTTGGGCTGGTAATGTCTTTGGACAGAGGTTGACACTGTGTAAGATCTAAGAACGAACAATGACTTTCAGTGAACTTTTTTTTCTGGGGAATGCTTTTTTTCACAGTGGCCTTTTGACTCGGAGTGGTATTTGACCTTGAGGCTGTAGACTACAATCTTTTTAATATCCGTGTCTCTTGGCTTTTTTCTTGTGGTGTCTATGAATGAAGTTGAAATGAAAGAGGTATTCTACTTGAAAATGTTTGCAGATACTGCATAACCTCACAAGTTATGGACTTGGTTGGTGTGCTTGTTCATCTTTCTACATTTTTGACTTTTCAATTCCATGTATGTGGTTAATTATTTAATGTTATTTTCTTCTTCTGTTCACATGGCTCCACACGCTTTACAATTCTCTTCTTGTCCCTCTTTCGACAGTTTTTTCCTGACTACAGATTTGGGTGGATACTGTCAGAATTTGAAAAATCTATATCTTCTGAACTTGGTAAGTGATTTTAGACTGGCACAAATTGATTGAATACCAAGTAGAAAATTTCTTTCCTTGCAGCTTTTATGCATTCTACCCCGTGCTGCACATCATTTTCTCTCTTCTCTTAGGCTTCATTGCAAGGAAATAGAAGACCAATAATATTAGAGTTCAGAGTTACATAAACTGGTCGTTCATAAGAGTGATCATTATATGTTCCTTGACAAATTTTCCTTGAACTTTCTTTTCTTGTAGCTGTAAATCTTGGCAAATTCTAAATGATATATTGACAAAAGTTTTTCTGGACATTTATGATCTTTGTTGCTTTATAGATTTTATTCAAGAAGCTATGAACTCAGAACGAGCAGCCAAAAATTTACGAAGCAACAGTTTTGTCAGGGTTCCCCGTGTTTTTTGGGTATGGTATTCAAGTCCATTACATTCTCAGATTTGTACATTGCCCCTGGTACTTTATTTTACTATGCATGTATCAGCTTCACTCACTCTTTAAGAAATCTATCCAGATTTGACAACCACCAAGGTTTTGACAATGCAATATTGTAAAGGGCAGAAGGTACAATTTCCATCTTGCTTCCTAGGCATAAAATGTTGATGCACTACCAGAATTCAGAATCCCAAAACTAAAGTTCTGAATATGTTTATTTGTCGTCTCCATGTTGGTCAGGATGAAACAACTATATGAGTTGCTTCTCTTGGTACATGTAGTTGCTCACATATGGTTTCCAGCATTAACCGATTTGTAGTCTGCAAAAGAGCATTTTATTTTATTCTTTCTATTATGGTTATCAATCAATGTTGGAAGATTTTGCAAAGTAATTCTGAAACTGTTATGTCTTGTCTTGTTTAATTCCCATTTAGCTGAGTTCTTCTTGTGTATGTATGTACTCTTCTTGGTATCAACAAAGTTCTTTTTCTTCTTCTCCTTAAGTAGGAAAAATGCTTGGTTTCCTTAATTTCTTCTTAGTCATTGTTGGTATAAAATGCTAGTACATCAATTTCAATTTTCTTGGCCACCATTTGTATTGACATATCGATATGTGCCATTAACAGGAAATTCCTTAGCTTTCAGGTTGATGACTTGGAATCTATGAAGCGAATGGGGATTAATCCAGCTAAGGTTGGTTTTCAAGTTAGCAGGCTAAAATTTTTCTGGTTTCTTTTTCTGGAAAGTAGGCTGTGTTTTGATGCGGATCATATTTCCATCAGAAGCATATTTACTTGTAGTAGACTATCTCTTCAGACTTTTTTAATCAAGAAGTAGAGGGATTATGCAAGCTTTCTAACTTACCATGCAGTGCCGTTTTTTTTACTGTTTGACACTCTTTATTCGCCTCCGTCACTGGCTTGTATTCATAGGTTGCAAAGGCCCTATCGGAGGTTGTGGCAGAAATGATATTTATCCATGGTTTCTTGCATGGGGATTTACATCCTGGAAATATATTGGTTTCTCAAGGACAGAATGGATTTTCTTTAGGTATGCAGTTATTCATAAATAAAAGTGATAAATAAGAAATGAGCTAATTTAACTCGAAAATATAATGTGTACTTTTGACATTTAGTGATGCCATAACTTTGATTTGATGTGGTCATGCAGTTCTTCTGGATCATGGGATCTGTAAAGAATTGGATGAAGCTTT